CTCATACAAAACATCCTTCGCTAATTTATAGCGTTCCTGACATAGACAACTCTTCACGAGTCAGTGCTACAAAATTGCTCTACGACAAAGTTGCAGAGTCAGAGCTTACTCTTATATAAGGTGTACTACTTCTATCGTTTTACTTCATAGTGACAAATTTTCCTAAATGTTTTAAATTAATTTGTTTTATTTTTTCAATTAAAAAAATTGTTTAATATTTATGAAGCACTTATTTTCAAGTAATTTAGAATAACAAACATCTATAGAATTTCTTTAAAAAAAAAAATAAAAAAATAAAACAAACACCTATAATTAATTCAACTTAAATAGAAATTTAATTTGTTCTTTTACACTTTTCTTATATGTTATTTTATATTTCTGTTAAATATTTTAGAGTGGACATTTTTCTGATATTCTAAAAAAGTAGATAAAAATAAAAATTGAAATATTACAAAATTATGAAAAAGTTTTCAGTCCAAGAATAGTGCGTTGAAATGCAGTGTAAGTAAAACACCATATATTTTAATCTTCATATTTGTTACACCATACTGCAAGGCGTGCAACCAAAAAGAGACAGCTCACTGACATTTCAGAATCGTGATCGTATTATACAAAGATAAATATGAACAAGTCGAACTGGAATAACCAGTATCTGAGATGGCACGTTTCGCGCATATAAAAATAATAACTCAAAAGTAGATTGAAAGGGAGGAGAAGGGCAAAATCAGATGAGATACAATCAATTAAATTGCGTGTCATAGGACAACACTAGAAGATTATATTTCCATTGCATAATTATTGGTCGAGATAGATTATCATTCCGTTAAATATAGAAGGGAAAAAATTGTAAAAAAGTGTGGTTAACATACAATAATTCTATAATTTCATCAACATATAACTTAAAAATGCAAAAAATTTGTTACCTACAAATAGAGACAATATTTTAATTAGATATTTATATTAATTCACGACCGGAAAAATCAAATATTTATTGATATTATGTCCTTCTGTATATATTTTTGTGCTGTATCATCATATTAAATGATTTTACTTTAATTAAATTATTTACGAACAACATTTAATAATAATTAATAATAATTTAATTGAATTTATTTAATACAATAATAATAATTAATAATTTAATTGAAATTATAGTCTTTCGTGTGTGTGTGTGTGTGTGTGTGTGTTTATGTGTATTCAAGAAGTCTATATTTCAAAATAGGATTCTAATATATAATAATAAAAAACATTTAATTTCAGTCTTTATTATTTTATTATTCTCCTTTCTTTTTATACTTAAATTTCTTTTGTTCTCTTTTCAAATTTTATTTTATTCCATTTATATTTTTAGTATATTTTTAGTTTATACTATTTAACAAATTACAATTGACTTAGTTTGAATAATTTTCATTAATTGATTATGCAATTAATTAATTATGCAGTTTTCTAGACAAATTGATAATTGGACAACAAAATTTTTAATTAAATTAAAACTGCCATGAGAGAGAAAAAGAAAGAGAGAGAATAAATCTCTTTGCGTAAGCTTCTTCTCAGTATATTTATATTCTCATTAATGAGTTGATGTTGGATGCTTGATACAAATAATAAGCAGCTTGAAAGTGATAAGCGTTGAATAGATTGGTTTTTATAGATCTCATTATAGAAAACCGAGACAGCTGAAAAAATTTATCTATCGTTGTAGAGTCGATTCTTTGAATCCAGTCAGTCACACTTCTCGGAGTGTTAT